CAAATAAAGTAAACAAAAAAACAAACAAATCTCTCTTCCTCTCTCTCTCTCTCTCTCTGTGTGAGGCGCCCTCCTCCTTCCTTCCTTCCTTCCTCCTCCGGAAGTGAGGGAGGGAGGGAGGGACTCGCCCTGCTTGGCTTCCTCTCTTGCCTTCCTCCCGCCCAGGAGAGAGACAGGCACGAGGGAAAAACAGAGGGGCTCTCCTTCTTTCTTTTCTTCCCTTCCTAAGGCCCGAGATCCGCCAATGGGAGTTCGCCTTCCTCTTTGACGTCACCGGTCTCCGGGCAGAATCGGTCTCCCCCGAAGAAGCCTTTTCTCCAGCCTTCCTTCCTTCCTTCCTTCCTTCCTTCCGCCACGACGAGAGAGAGGGCATTCATTCGTTCCCGGGATCCGCCAATGGGAATCTGCCTCCGCTCGCCGCGTCACCGGTCTCCAGGCAGAACTGCCAGAGCCTTCCGGCCTCTAGTTGGGATTCTCCTGCTGCATTCGGGGAGGGAGGGAGGCCAGCTGAAGGGCAGGGAAGGAAGGACAAGCCTTCTTGGAGAAGGACTAGCTCCAGCTCCGCCCTAGGCATTGGGGAATATGGCTGGTTGGTGGCCTTGGCCTTTGGAAGCCGCGGATTCTCCTGCTGCATTCGGGGAGGGAGGGAGGGAGGGGCCCCAGGAGGAGAGAGGGAGGCCAGCTGAAGGGCAGGGAAGGAAGGACAAGCCTTCTTGGAGAAGGACTAGCTCCAGCTCCGCCCTAGGCATTGGGGAATATGGCTGGTTGGTGGCCTTGGCCTTTGGAAGCCGCGGATTCTCCTGCTGCATTCGGGGAGGGAGGGAGGGAGGGGCCCCAGGAGGAGAGAGGGAGGCCAGCTGAAGGGCAGGGAAGGAAGGACAAGCCTTCTTGGAGAAGGACTAGCTCCAGCTCCGCCCTAGGCATTGGGGAATATGGCTGGTTGGTTGGTGGCCTTGGCCTTTGGAAGCCGCATCGAGTCCTTCCTTCGGGAGATTTGAGCGGGGTAGAAATAAAGTTAATCAAGAATAATAATAGTAATAAATATCGCCTGATTTTTCCTACCCTTTACCCAGGCCACTTCCTCTAATAGGCCCTATTATTATTATTATTATTATATTATTATTATTATTTTATATTATACTAATATTATACACACACACACACACACACACACACATATATATATATATATAATTTTATATTTTAATATAATATATTATACTAAAAGGCAACAACAAACTATTTTATTATTTATTTACAATATTTATATCCCGCTTTTCTCACCCTGAGGGGGACTCAAAGCGGTTTACACATAAGTAATGGCAAAATTCAATGCCGGTACAAACAATTACAATTATACACTACAATTAGACATAAATCAAGTTAAAAACAGTGCATCCACAAGCAATAAAACAGTCATTAAAACAACAAAACAGTCTCATCCGTCAAATCGTCGTTCCGGTCATTGTCTTTCTGAAATGCTGCATGCATTTACTTCTACTGCCCAGAGGCCTGGTCCCAAAACCATGATTTTTTTTCTAAAAGCCAGGAGGGAGGGGGCAGATCTTACCTCATTTGGGAGTGTGTTCCATAGGCGGGGAGCCACATCCGAGAAGGCCCTGTCTCTCGTCCCTGCCAGACGCATCTGTGCTGTTGACGGGAGCGAGAGCAGGGCCTCCCTGGATGATCTTAGATTACGACTATTGTCGTTGTTGCCTGCTATAGCACTGCACTTAATTCCCGGGCGGACCCCTTAGAATTGTTGAGCTCACCCTCATCTCAGCCCGGCCTTTGAAGTTGCCTTGAACAGGCAGGATTACTTTTAAGATATATGTGTGTGTGTTACGGCAACAATGTTTATGCTTACATTGTTTTGTTGACCTTATGTTTATTTATTTGCTTCATTTGTATACCGCTATTCTCAGCCCTTAGGCGACTCACAGCGGTTAACAACAGTAGTAGCAACAATTCAAAGCTAACATCAAACAAGGTATTTAAAAACAAATTAACACAATAGCAGACTAAGCAATTAACATCATTAAACACTCATTGGCGTCTCGTAACTAGAATCATGATCCAAACTCGTCATCCGTTGTTCCGTTTCTTATCATTCATTGCACTGCCTGTTCAAACACCTGTTCAAATAACCAGGTTTTCACTTTTCTCCGAAATACCATTAGTGAGGGAGCCGATCTAATGTCCGTACATACTGATGATGTTATTTGGAAACCGCTCCAAGTCCCCTCAGGGAGATGGAGCGGTATATAAATAAAGTATTATAAGTTTTATAAGCAGTGGGGAGCATCTCTTCATTGGCGGATCAGGGCGCTGAGAGAGGAGGGGCTCGAGATCAAGGCTGCTCAAAGAAAGTGGAGGGATTGGCAGCGCTCTTGGCCCAAGGGGAAGTGCAGCCAGGACTTAGTGTAAAACCATCTCTGCACTTTACTCTGTGGAAAAGAGGAGGTGGAGGAGATGGTAGAGGAGGAGAAGGTGGTGATGGTGGAGGAGGAGGTTGAGGAGGTGGAGGAGATAGAGGAGGTGGTGGTGGAGGAGGAGGTGGTGGTGGTGGAGGAGGAGGTGGTGGAGGGGGTGGTGGAGGAGGAGGTGGAGAAGGTGGTGGAGGAGAAGGTGGTGGTGGAGGAGGAGGGGGAGGTTGAGGAGGTGGAGGAGGAGATGGTGGTGGAGGAGGAGGTGGTGGAGGAGGTGGTGGTGGAGGAGGAGGTGGTGGTGGAGGAGGGGGAGGTTGAGGAGGTGGAGAAGAAGGTGGAGGAGGAGGTGTCACAAGAAATTCAATGTGCAGATTTGACAAATACTATAATTTTGTATTGATGTTGTTGTAATAAGGAATTCAATGTGCAAATTTGATAAATGTGAATTTAAAATGATGTATGGGAATGAATGGAAGAATGGAAGGATGTATGAATGGAGTTAATAATTTTGGAAACCCCAGTATAATATTAAGGCCTGCAATGACTAACTAACTACCTGCTTGCTGCTTTGTGATTAAAACCTGTTAATGAGATCTGAAGAGTAAACTCTGATAAGAATTGGGACAGTGATAAAGGAAATGTTTGCAACATTACTTATGTTAAGAAGGAAGTCAACACAAGCCTTGTGTTTGTCAACAAAAGATCAACGCCAATCAAGAAGATCAACACCTGCCCAGGAAACTGGGATGGATCCAGGATGGAAGACATTATCATTAATCTACAACTTTGGGACGACATCAACAGAATATTCCTATAAAAGATTCAGCCTAATAATGCTCAAATTGTGGCAGACCTGAGGAGTCTGTTCCACCCGCCATGCTCTGCTCCATGGGAAGGACAGAGGTGGTGTATTCGGAGAGTGTCAGATCTGCTCTGGGAAAGCATGATGATTCTGGACACTTTGGGGCTTCTTTCTCAAGGGAAGAGGAAGGAGGAGGGTGCTTTTGGAGTCTGGGATTTTGTGCAGGGAGTCAGGTTCTGCTGTGTGGAAAACAGAGATCTGGTCCTCGGCATTGTTCTTCGGGAAAGAAGTTTTGGCATCTCAGCGTTTTGAAGTTTTGGTGTTATGGAAGTTATGGAACTATGAGTTGCCAGGCTGCAGGGAAGCAGGGTCTGGCCTAAGAGGGGCTTCTCCAAGGAGGGAGAAAAGGATATGGTCATATTTGGATGCATGTGTGTACATGTGTGTGAATGTTGAGTGAAAATATAATTCCCCTTTGTTAGTTTGTTAACCAATGTAATTGTGAATCCACTGTAGTTGCACAGAATCTGCATGTCTGTCTGTCCAATGTCATTCTTTGTCTAAATGTTTTCTGTAAACTGTTATACCTTCTCACACTGGAAATTGCAATAAAAAGAACCCATGCTTCAAAGTCATTGAAAAGTCATTCATGACATTGTTGTATTCATTGGTTTGATTGTTTCCATTCAGGCATTGAATGTTTTCCACTTTTTTCGTTTGGAAACCGCCCTGAGTCTCCTTGGGGGGAGAGGGCGGCGGGGTATAAAGAAAGAGGATGATGACGAGGATGATGATTCCCACCACCACAGCAAAAAACACTACTGGGGTTTGGAGGGAACTTACCTGGACTTCCAGTGGGTGGGAAGCCCCCTCCTCCAATGGCCTGCTTTCCAGCGCAGACTCCTGGTCACCGTGTCACGGCCTCTGGCCTTGTAAAGGAGCTCATCTCTTGAGTTCTGACTTGGAGGTTTTATTCTTGATTTATTTGCTTCTTATAACTATGTACAGGTCTTCTCTCCAGATGCAAAGATACTCTCAAACAGAAAAAGTTCACACAACAACGTTGAGGGATTACATCTGCAGACAACTATGGCAAGGCCTCTAACCAATGGCAGAGCAGGACGTGCACATACAAGCCGCTCCCACCCTTCTCTCCAGATTCCATCCCTGTAACGTCATACTCTCTGTTTTCTTAACCCTTGAGATTATTGTGCTGTGAACACGCGTCTATTAAGAACTGTCTCATGACACACTGGAGGGGAGGGCCATGCATTCCTAGCCATCTTTTTCTACACAACAGTCGGGGGGGGTGTCACATGAACCCCAAAAACCATTCCGTGGCCGCCCCCTCCCTCCCTCCCGCCCTGCCGAGGAAGAAGCCCTTCCTTCTTTCCTCAACCTGTGGGTCTCTCCCCAGATGCGTTTTGGCCTTCACCTCCCAGAAATCCTCACAACTGGTCAACTGGCTGGGATTTCTGGGAATTGTAGGCCACAACACCTGGGGAGAGACCCACAGGGTGAGACCCACCACTCTAAGTTAAGCAGACCCAGCTCTCTCGGCCATTCCCTACAGCCCGTCTCTGGAGATACTCTGGCTTGGCAATATCCGTCTTGAGTTGTGTTGCCCAGAACGGGAGAGAGAGTGATTCCAGGTGAGGTCTGAGCAAAGCAGGAGAAAGGAGGCTGTGACTTCCTTGGACGTAGACACCACGTCTCCTCTTGGCACAGCCTAGAACCACGCTGGCCTTTGTGGCTGCCACATCACACTCTGGTTTTTCAAAATAATTTTTATTCAAAGGCAAGAAAGAAAAGCATGTTTATACAAATTACAATTTTGGGATTTTAAAAAAGGAATCCTTAACAAACATGAAAGACTGAACAACACACACCCACATAATAAGAAGAAAACTAAGAGAACAACGGATCAAGACAACTCTTGCCGCATGCTGATTTTTATTTATATTTACTCACTCTAATTGCTGTTCTATATTTAGTCTTCTGTTTCTAAATATAGTAAACTCATTCCTAAAACCCACAATAAACAAGTGTCCCAATCTCGTTTCATAGAATCCTTGAGTTGGGAGAGACCTCCTGGGCCATCATCCAGTCCAACCCCATTCAGCCAAGAAGCAGCCTGTTGGAAAGCTTCCAAAGAAGGAGCCTCCACCACACTCCGGGGCAGAGAGTTCCACTGCTGAACAGCTCTCACAGTCAGGAAGTTCTTCCTCATGTTACAATTTTATTCTATTATTATTACATTTCTTTTACTGTTATTATTATTATTACATTTATTATTTTATTCTATCGCTATTACTACAATTATTATTTTATTCTGTTAATATTATTGTTTTTCTCTATTTATTATTATTACATTGTTTTATGTTATCATTGTTTTTATTAACTTATTATTTTACGCTATCATTACATTTATTATTTTACCCTATTTATTATTATTAATACATTTAATATTTTACTCCATGGTTATTATTATTATTATTACATTTATTATTTTACCCTATTTCTTATTGTTGGAAGGATACATAAGCACATTTACACTGAAGGAGGTTAGAATAATGATTTAATCAGAGTTGGACAGTCTTATCTTAAATTACAGTTTTATGCAATTATTCAGAAACACTTAACCTATAGATGCCTCAATTAATATAATTTTATTGATATCTATTTTTATTTTTATTCTTGAAATTTACCAATAGCTGCTGCATTTCCCACCCTCAGCCTATACTCAAGTCAATAAGTTTTCCCAATTTTTGTGGTAAGATTAGATGCCTCCTCTTATATTTGGTCGGCTTATACTCAAGTATATACAATATGTGGCTTCTCCTCTGTGTGGGTTCTTTGATGGGAACACTGACTCCTACTGCAACTGAAGCTCTTTCCACTCCCCTGTGTGGGTGCTTTGATGGATACGCAGAGTCCCACTTTCACTGAAGCTCTTTCCACATTCCATGCATTTATGTGGCTTCTCCCCTGTGTGGGTTCTTTGATGGGAATGCAGACTGTCACTCCGACTGAAGCTCTTTCCACATTCCATGCATTTATGTGGCTTCTCCCCTGTGTGGGTTCTTTGATGGATACGCAGAGCCCCACTTTCACTGAAGCTCTTTCCACATTCCATGCATTTATGTGGCTTCTCCCCTGTGTGGGTTCTTTGATGGATACGCAGAGTCCCACTTTGACTGAAGCTCTTTCCACATTCCATGCATTTATGTGGCTTCTCTCCTGTATGGGTCCTTTGATGGGTACGCAGATGTCCACTCAGACTGAAGCTCTTTCCACATTCCATGCATTTATGCGGCTTCTCCCTTGTGTGGATTCTTTGATGGGTACGCAGATTTCCACTCTGACTGAAGCTCTTTCCACATTCCATGCATTTATGTGGCTTCTCCCCTGTGTGGGTCCTTTGATGGACATGCAGAATTCCACTCTGAGAGAAGCTCTTTCCACATTCCATGCATTTATGTTTCTCCCCTGTGTGGATCCTTTGATGGTTACGAAGAGTCCCACTCTCACTGAAGCTCTTTCCACATTCCATGCATTTATGTGGCTTCTCCCCTGTGTGGGTCCTTTGATGGGAACGAAGATGTCCACTCTGACTGAAGCTCTTTCCACATTCCATGCATTTATGTGGCTTCTCCCCTGTGTGGGCCCTTTGATGGGAACACAAGTTTCCGCTCTGACTGAAGTTCTTTCCACATTCCATGCATTTATGTGGCTTCTCCCCTGTGTGGGTTCTTTGATGGATACGCAGATATCCACTCTGACTGAAGCTCTTTCCACATTCCATGCATTTATGTGGCTTCTCCCCTGTGTGCGTCCTTTGATGGGTACGTAGATTTCCACTCTGACTGAAGCTCTTTCCACATTCTACGCATTTATATGGCTTCTCTCCTGTGTGAGTTCGTTGATGTGTAGTAAGAGAACTTCTCGCAGTGAAACATTTCCCACAGTCCATATAGTTATATCGCGTCTCCCCTGTGTGTGATTTTGATAAGGAATTGAGATTTTCCATTCTTTTACATTTATGATTCAAATATTATGCCAGAAGGTCACAGATATGTTCTCCTGATTTCCTCTTCTCAGTCTTTGTATTGCTCTAGTCCATTTGAATAAATAAATTACCAAGCCCCACTGTTTACAGCACAATCCTCCCTTTCCTCCTTGAATGCACAGCTATGCAGCTTGAAATATAATTTCTCCAACTTATTTCTTGTGAGTGCTGTGTAATTTCATTCCTGACCTAAGCCAAAGGGAAGTGTTCTTCTCGAGGTTCATTCAGAGGTTACCTGCCAGAGAAATGAGAGGAAAATCTTATCAGGAGCAGAGCACAGAAATATCTCATTGAACAATACGAACAATAGGTTCTTGTGGGTTTTTTCGGGCTATGGAGCCATGTTCTAGAGGCATTTCTCCTGACGTTTCGCCTGCATCTATGGCAAGCATCCTCAGAGGTTGAGAAGGTGATTCCAGTCATGAAAGCCTTCGACAATACAATACGAACAATAGCTTAGTGTTGTAGCCAATGCAGGAGAAGAAGGGAGAAAGAGCGGTCCTACTGAGGAGAGCCTTTGCCTGCTGAGAAGAACTTTAACACTTGCCCAACAAAGAGCAAGCCCTGCAAAGAGGGGAGAGTGGCCCAAGATTCCCTGTATGAGATTACTTTCACTGCAGTGTGTTCAGAGTGTCATCCAACCTTTGCAAAGGAAGACTTCTAACAATATGGTCAGCGCAGAAAGGACTCAGATTGCAAAGCGTTTCCTGCCTAGATCCCGCTTCCTCACATCCCAACTCAGAAGCTGAGTGACCACCTGTACGGGCAGACCATCCCAAGTGGTCAGTCTTGTGAGAAAAATACTTCATTTCTTCCAACTGAAGCACATTTTTTCCTGACCCTCTCTTTCCCTGCAGTGCGATCCCTGCCCCACGTTTCTAAAGCGAGGAACCTGAAGACATGGAGAGCACATTCAGCCACAAAGTTCCTTGACATATTGCATTCTTACAAAACCTATACCACAAAGGTGTGAAACATCAGGCAGAACAAATGCAAAGGAAACAAACAAAGCAAACTTCTACACCAAGACCACAAAAACGGAGATAGGGATGCAGAAGCACAGGGTGGGAGGCACTCAGCCTAGCAGCAGAACACGAGAGAAGGGGGTAGAGGGAGGATGGAAGGATGGACCCCCAGTGCTAAAGATGATGTTGTGCTCTGGCTCAAGGGGTAGGAGGGAAGCCATCAAGTTCACCGCATCCACTACAGGCCCCTCTTCGGCCCCCGGAGCCCTTTTGTAGGGGTTTCATTGAGGATCACCTGCCAGGTGAGCTGAGGCTGTCTCCTGGGTAGTGCCAGGCTTGTTTCCTAAGCAGGACATTGCATAGCTTGTGCCACCAGGTAAATGGTCCCCCAATTAACCAGAGAGTTTATTGATCACATCCACAAGCACCATGGCTTTCTCCTCACAGTAAATGCAGATTGCGGGGCCCACTTTGCCTCCTAGTTTTGGGGAGGGCTCTTCAGTCTCCTGGGAGTACGGCCAGCTCTGAGTCCTGCTTATTGCCCTCCAACGTCTTGGCCCAACTGAGAGCGTCCAGCAGGTGATCCATTAACGTTTGCATTGCTACCTTAATTGCCAACAAGGTGACGGGTTGGGACTGCTTACCTTTCCTGGGATGGCTCAGAACAGGCTTCTAATTGGCTTCAACTGTTTATTTTAAATAGTGTCAATGTTTAATTTTAATGTGTGCGTTTTTTGGCTTTAAATTATATCCTGTGTTGCTTTTATTGTTAGCAGGAAGCAGGATAGATGAGATGATGATGAAACTCTGTAAATTGCAAGGCTGGGCCTTTGCCTTCTGAACCCCTTTGGCCTTCGCCGACCCTTGCGACCATCCCCTTTGACCCCTGGCGTAGCCAGATTGGGTACGGAGGGTCCGCGATGCCTGGCCTCGCACAGAAGAGGCACCGGAGCAGGGCAAAGGGACTGGCAGAAGGCACGCAGGGGGACAAGGAGGGCAAAGGGGGATTTGAACCCTCTGCAATCTATAGAGTTGCCTACAATTTTTGGACAATCAAGCCCCCCAAATATATTGTTCCTTCTGTGGTCAAAAGCGCAATCCAATCTCTAGCGGCTGAACTGGACCTCCTCAAAAATGATATCCCTTCATCCAAATCAGTGGTTCTCCACCTTTCTCATGCCGTGACCCCTAAATACACTTCCTCATGTTGTGGAGACCCCCAAACATATTTTCGTTGCTACTTCATAACTGCTACTGTTACAAATTGCAACGTAAATATCTGATATGCAGGATGGATTTTTATTGTTACAAACTGAACATAATGAAAGCATAGTGATTAATCACAACAACAATGTGTTTAGGGAGTATGGACAACGGATGAAGGGATTTGCAGTTCCTTCACCCAATTCAGCTCTAGCTGCCGCAGACTGCTGAGAACCCCACAAATTGCAGACCTGGACCAAACGTGGCACAGAGAACCCCCGTGACTGACAGAAAATACTGGAGGGGGTTGGGATGAATGGACAGTGATTTGGGGGAGATGTAGTTCACCTACATCTGGAGAGCACCGTGAACCCAAACAATGGACCTGGACCACACATGGCAAAAATACTCAATACGACCAAATTTGAAGTCCTGCCTTCCTCCTCGTTCTCCTCTGGGCTCTCCTTCCTCCTCCTCTCCATTTGGGCACCTCCAATCACTGTTACTTTCTCCCAAACCCTTCCAGTATTTTCCGTTGGTCATGGGAGTTCTGCGTGCCAAGTCTGGTTCAGTTGCATGGTTGGTGGTGCTCAGAATGCTCTTTGATGGCAGGTAAACTATAAATCCAAGCAACTTCAACTCCCAAATGTCAGGGTCTATTTTCCCCAAAGCTCTCCAGTAATTTCTGTTGGTCATGGGAGTTCTTCATACCAAGTTTGGTTCAGTTTAGTTGTTGGTGTTCAGAATGCTCTTTGATGGCAGATGGAGTCCAAGCAACTGTAACTCCCCAATGTCAAGGTCTATTTTCCCCAAACTTCACCATTCTGAACTCCACCAATGATGGAATTGAACCAAACGTGGCATACAGGACTTCCATGACAAACAGAAAACACTAGAAGTGTTTGGTGGGCATTGACCTTGAGTTTGGGAGTTGTAGTTCACCTGCATCCAGAGAGCACTGTGGACTCAAACAAGGATGGATCTGGACCAAACTTGGCACAAATACTCCATATTCCCAAATGTGAAGACAGATGGAGTTTGGGGGAAGTAGACCTTGACATTTGGGAGTCGTAGTTACTGGAATTTATAGTTCACCTACAATGAAAGAGCATTCTGAACCCTATGAACAACAGCATTGGGGCAAACCTCCCACACAGAACCCCCATACTTAAGGCCATCTAGTCCAACTCCCTTCACAAAGGCAAGAAAACATAATCAAAGCCTTCCTGACAAAGAGCCATCCAGCCATAGATATAGATAGATATATATGATTCACACACAGAGAGATATAGTATCATAGATTGAAAAGGGACCCCTAAAACAGGGCAATCCTATGTTGCATGTTCCAGAGAAGGCAAACCAGACAATCTCCACATCAACACTGACAAAGAAACAGCAAGAAATACTGTTTATCCACAAGCAGAAAGAAATTGCATATATTCGAAACCAATACTTTCTAATTTATTTTCCAGATCTGCAGACTGGGCCACAGCAACGCCTGGCAGGGGACGGCTAGTGATTTGTCATTTTCTGGATCAGAGAGAAAAGAGGAAGGAAAGGAGGAAGGTATTTCAGTGTGGCCTTGAATCGAAGAGAAGTCAGCACAGCTCACTGATTTATCTAATACCCATGCCAACATAAAGGCAGATCAGATAGCACACCAACTCTTGAAGAATGGGAAACCCAACCTTGCCACCAAAGTAGGAAAGAAACCAATAGCCAGACAACCAGAGATTGAGAACAACAACCTCCATGAACCCTTGACATCCACTGAACTGGACATGGCTCTCAATAAATGTAAGAATGGCAAAGCAGCTGGCCTGGATGACCTATGGATGGAACAAATCAAGAACTTTGGCCCAAAAGCAAGGCGCTGGCTGCTGGAGCTGATGAACAACTGCACTGCATCCTGTCAGATCCCCAAAATCTGGAGGAAAGCAAGAGTCATCGCCATCTTGAAGCCAGGCAAAGACCGTAATGATCCATTGAGGATCACCTGCCAGTTATCACAGGGTCGGCCTCCCTCTCTCTCTGGAAGCTGATTGGCACAACCTGGGGATCACAACCAGACACAGTGAAGACACCTGCCCTTGCGCTATGCTATTCTGCTGCTGAGTTTGCATGCCCAGTGTGGAACACATCTCACCACGCTCAAACAGTGGATGTGGCTCTTAATGAGACATGCCACATTATCACGGGGTGTCTGCGCCCTACACCACTGGAGAAATTACACTGTTTAGCCGGTATTGCACCACCTGACATCCGCCGGGAAGTAGCAGACAATAGTGGAAGGACCAAGGCAGTGACATCTCCAGCTCACCCTTGCATGGGTATCAGCCAGCACATAAATGACTTAAATCTAGAAATAGTTTTCTAAGAACTACAGAGACACTCACTGGAACACCCCAGCAAGCGAGAGTCCAAAAGTGGCAGGCTCAAACCCAGCACCTCAATCCATGGCTGATACCAAATGAGAGACCCCCCTGGGCACACAGAGGACTGGGCAACTTGGAAGGCACTGAACAGACTGTGCTCTGGCACCATGAGATGCAAAGCCAACCTCAAGAAATGGGGCCACAAAGTGGAATCCACGACATGCGAGTCCGGAGAAGAGCAAACCACAGACCACCTGCTGCAATGCACCCTGCGCCCTGCCACATGATGAACGATGGAGGACCTTCTTGCAGCAACACCAGAGGCACTCTGGTACAAACATATCTACTCAAAATGAAAAACAACACAACAACACACTCACAAAACGGCAA